CGTTCTCCATCATGGTTTGACCCTGCCCAGTGATGAATTCTCCTGTCCAATACAAGATGATGAGAAAATTGGTTGCTGCCCGACAGACAGCAGTGTGACCTTTATCAATAGTCCACTGCCGTGGGTCTGTCCACGGCACATTGATCGACTGTCACTGCTGATATTAGTCTGTAGTCCCTCCCATCCCCCACACACAGCAGAGCAGACCCGGCTTTCACTGGACCAGTTTAGGTTAAAGTCTTTTCAGATCTTGAAGACATCTTATCATGACAACTTATCCCTAAGAAAAGTTGCCATGCTGGATTTCTGTTTGCATTATAACTTCATAAGTAATGAATTTTGCTGTCCGTGGAGGATTTTTGTCTTGGAATTTAATTAAAGAACCTCCAGATCTTCAGTCCCTGTTGTACATTGTACTAATAACTTATCCTGTGAAATACTGGATGGATTGTCATCATTATGGTTGGTATATCTGCTTCCACCATAGCTAATGAAATATTTTAATCCATGATATTTTAGGCTTTGAATTCTTGTCTTCACAGCTTATCCTGACAAAATTCCTAAGCACTAAACATCTGGGGCCAAAAAAATCTGGGAAGATGATGGAAGCCTCATTTCCCATCCTTAGAACTTTCCCGACATTACCACGCCATGTCCATTCAAACTGACAGAAACTTTGAAAGTTCTTCAGAATTGTGGGCATGAAACTTCAACTTGAACTGGAGAGATGAGTTGTTGTTGGCATTGAACCAACAAACTCTCCAATGACTCCTCTGTAAGCCTGACCGCCTGGCTGGTTTCAGATTGCCTGTAATTTATACGGCTTGCGCTGTATCCGATATGGTCCATATCGCATGACTAACTCCTGCTTTATGGCTACAGCAGGGCTGGCAGGGCTGCTAGATGCCTCAGGATTAGTTTGAAGGGCGAAGTATGAAGTATGATATCATATTGAACTGTAATCTTCACTTCAACCTTTGCAGACACATAGAGGGCATTAGGATTATCCACGGCTGTAAGCTCCATGGCCATGGTGGCACACACAAGGTCGTTTGTATAGACAACCTTGGGTAACACCTGCAGAGGGGGGGGAGAAATTGGAGTGGATGCTGTGAGAAAAGTTTGCCCAGATCACTGTCAAAACATTTGGGCAATCAATGAAGGAAGTCTTTGATGGAGGACAGGGAAGGCTGCTAGCATGTCACACAATGTACCACTGACTGGTCAGTTTGATACTTGAATGTTCGGTGGATACATCAGTCTCCAAATGCCAGAGATCACGAGTTAAATATTGGTAGAAAGATACCATCATGTTGAGAAAAACAAGCTGAAATTTTTCATTATGTCCACTGACAATTAAAGGTGACCTGCAGGGTATCCAACACATATACTCTTAGTTCAAGTTGAAATCAACATCCCATATTATATTGTACGGTAATTCACTTTTTGTCTTGCATTTTTCCCCCCAGGTACAAGAAGTATGTGACCCTTGACCCCCTGGGTGTGGTCACCAAGACGAGGAAGGATATTGAGGAGGAGGAGGAGGGCCTGGCCGACGCCCCGTCAACCATCACCAACCGGGAGCAGCTGGAGCGCATCCAGGCCGAGAACTACTTCTACATCCCAAATATGGGCGATGTGCCGGAGATAGATGTGCCAAACCTGCTGCCTGATCTACCTGGTAAGGGTTAGGGGTCAGAGGGCAGAAGTCACAGGTTAGAGGTTAAGATCAGGGTTAGCATCATGGCTAAGATTTACTTCTACATCCCTGTCACATCACAAATTGGTATGCCCAATCTTATATAGCTAAAAGCTGTTACTGCCAAACAGACTGGATTTATTGTGTAGAAACCCCTTCTAGTGTGATTTATCAGTACTGCAGTATGCAGTTTTTCACTATATTCCTAAAGGCAGTTCTGCTGTTGGATTGATGCCCCTATGTGATGATGTCAACCCTAACTGTAAGGTTCAGTCATTAACCTTGACCTTTCATCTCACCTGTCTTGCAGGAGTGGCAGATGACCTTGCCTACAGTGCTGACCTTGGCCCTGGAATTGCTCCATCCGTTCCGAGTGTCATTCCCGACCTTCCCTCCATCGTGCCTGACGAGATGACACCCTCTGGTCCTGCCGGTGCACCCCCTGGCCCCCCTCCCCCC